CACAAAAAAAAACATAGAAAAGCTAAGGTAAGGACTTATGTTTTCATTACAAATATTAGCACCTAAAAGTTTAGGCCAAAAGTTTGGTCTCTCAATTCAAAATTTAAATATTAGAAATGTAAATAGGGATGTTGAATTAATGCATGATCAGTAACGGCTGTAACTTAAACCCACTGTCAGGACAGGCTATTAAGCAACACAGAGTAACTTTTGTGTATTACTTTTGTGTGTAACTTTTACTGGTTATTACCTGGCTTTCAAATTTTAGCTCTAACAGACAATTTCATCCGGTCGCTTTTTTATATTTTCTATTGGTCCTTTTCACACACCTCTGTTCTACAGTGTTGCTCAAATAGGTTTTATACTCCAAGCAGTCTAAATCAAGGTCAAGTGGTTAGACTACAAAATCGTGGCTTGACTAGGTTTGAAACCAGTTCTGCAATGTAACCTCTGTGCCTCTGTTTTCCTCTTTTATGAAAAGCTCAATGTCTGACGTATAGTGACATATTTTTACTACTGTTACTATCATTTTGAGATACATTCAAATAACTATTAGGTAAACTATAAAAATTTGCCAATTGAAAATATTATGAAATCAAGTATTAAATTTACTGTAACACTCAAGCTAAAACATAATAATTTCATAGAAATCCCCAGATTGCAGTAGCTACTCCAGGCTACACAAAGACCATCCACCTGTGCTGTTCTTGACCCCCTTCCCTCCGTGGGAGTCTCCTGGCAGAAGCTCTGTCATGTCACCTGTTCAGTCACTGCATGGGCTGCTTCATTAGGATCGTGGCACTGGTTGACAAAGTCACAGATCTCCTGACTATTCACCATGAAGTTAATCCCATCTGTGGTGAGGACCAGGAAGCTGTCATCAGCATGGTATAGCTATAACCAGAAGCAAACCAAATGGTTACAGACTAGAACGTGCCTTAGGACAATCAACCACCACCCAGAATAAATCAAATCATTTACTTTGCAATACCAAGGAAGAGGCCAGATAGCCAAATGCTGAGACAGTCTGAATTTGAATATTGCCTTTATTATTTAGTTGGGGGGACTTGAAAGTATGAGTCTCTGTGCGCTTTACATCTTGGCAAGCTTTCAATTCTTTTTTTTTTTTTTTTTAAATATTTTTATTTTTTTCATTTTATGTGTATGAGTGTATTGCCTGCATGTATGTGAGTGCACCTGTGTCATGCAATGCCACGGAGGTCAGAAGAAGGCTTTGGATTCCCCTGGCACTGGAGTTAAGGACGGTTTGTAGCTGCCATGTGGGTGCTGGGAAGCGAACCCGGGTCCTCTGCAAGAGCAGTCAGTGCTCTTAACCGCTGAGCCAGCTCTCTAGCCCCTCAATTTACTTTCTTATAAAATGAGGACAGCATCTCTTTTGAACAGAAGCCACCACAACACTAAAACCCACATACTTGTTACAAATAAGAAACAAAAGTGAGATGCTCCACAGTCCCCTGGAACTTATTCGACCTTGGAGGGCAAGGGGCAAAAACTGTCCTTTAAGCCCCTCTGATCAGATTAGTATAGGCCTCAAAGTATGGCTGTTAAACATCCAAGAAGGTTACTTCTGGTACTTTAATTACCATGTGCTATGTAGGTAAAGCTTAAGCAAAAACCAAATGTTCTCAGATAAAACCTTGACTGGACATGCATTTTGTTCCTTGAACTAGCTGACTAAACTATGACCTTAGAAATTTTAAGATGTGCATATTATTTTTGTCTCATCCTTTATATGTCATAACAAACCTACACAGACTTTCATCACTTGCTTAGAATTTCTCATTTTTTCTATTTTGGAAAATATCTCCATTCCCATATCCTTTTAACATCCATTATATTCTCATTTTCTTTTTTAATAATTATGATATAAGAACATTAACAAATAAATTTTCCATCTGTTGTGCGAATTCTTTCCCTGGGAATACTAAGCAATGTTTATCCCCTTCAAGAGGTTCTAGTGTCAAATCAGTGTTTGATTAAAGTTTTCCTGGGGAACCAATGATTTACTGGGCTTACTTATCACTCAAAGTGTTCTGTAACTGTGGTGAGTCACCTGTCCTCTTGTTCAGGGAGGCCATGGAGACCCCACCAGATGGACTTGAACTAGTGTCCAGTCTGCAAAGAGGAGGGTCAACACAGAGGAAACATTTCCTCCATGCTTCTAAGTGAAGCCAGTCACAGTCAAGCAGGACCTTTGACTTATCTCACATAGATGGAACTGGTAAAAGAAAGGAGCCAGGAGTTCCTCCCAAGCCCACATGACCTCTGAGGAACAGATCCTCAAACGACTATAAGAGTAAAAATAAATTGGATTATTTGGGCCAACTGTATGGTCTTAAACACCCAAAAGGAAAGTATAACCAAAGGTTAAAGGGATCAGTATATTTCTTTGAGGTCAAGGGATTATTCTTCTCAGACATTAAGTTTAAGTCCATATAAAATGTTATTTAGACTATTTCTCATTGATGATTTTGTTTCTAAGCAGAAAGTACTGCTCAGATATAAGACTTCAAATCTTGGTCTCCAATACTGTAGTGCCCACCTGTAGCTAAGGGAAACAACAACCAGCTATTGTTCTAAAATGATGGATAAATTTGTTTTCTCTCCCTATCTAGAAGCCTTTGAGAGGGAACTGACACTGATTCTAGTCACTCCAACAGCTATCAAAGTGCCTGAAAGCAAATCCTGAGTCTATCACTGTCGAGTCCAGCCTTGGCAGACAAAAGAAAAATGAAGAGGAGCCTAAGAGAGGGATGCTTTAGGAAGCTCTCATCAAGAAATTTCAGTGGACTCCAATGGATATGAACATTTGAAATTTGGCCTGTTCTGACCTTTTTCTGGTTCCCTGTCTAGAACTTGTAATGCTAACTACTCTTGCCTTTACTTCTCCTTCACATCTCCTAGGAAGATCAAGGACTTTCTTTTCTCCCTACAGTTAAGAGTTATGCAATTTGGGAGCCTTTTAGATAGATCCACTGAAAGGGTACCCCAATTGCATCACTCTGCTACCATGTTCAGCACGGAAGAAGCCAGAGCAGTCTGTATCCTGATTCCCTATCAGCAATTTGGGTAACCTCTTCAGAGGATGGTGTGATAAGAATAGGAGGTAGGAACTGGCTAGGCAGTTAGGGTAAAAAAGACTCCAAAGAAAAGTAGCCAATTTCTTGGCTAAAAGTCAAAATGTCCTTGGGCCTCTTAGCAACATACTCTGTCCCAAAGGCCAAAAATGTCAAAAGTATTTGGGAGCTCTTATCTAATCCCTAAAAGATTTTAGAGTTACTTCTTCTGAGGGGTAATGTTAGAGTAGCAAAAAGCCCAATTAAAAAAAAAAGTACACAAAGTTGTCAGGAAAAAGTGAAGGGGAGATATGGAAGGAGTTGGAGGGGAGGGAGTGGGCATGGATTTGATCAAAACACCTTATATGCATGTATGAAATTCTCAATAATTTTTTTTTTTTTTTGTTTTTTTTGAGACAGCCTCCTTGTAGCCCCAGCTGTCCTGGAACTCACTATGTAGACCAGGCTGGCCTCGAACTCACAGAGATCCGCCTGCCTCTGCCTCCTAAGTGCTGGGATTAAAGGCGTGCACCACCACACCTGGCCTCAATAAATTTTTTAAAGTTAAAAAAAAAGAAATATAAGTGAGATATCTTTAAGACATGAACTCCTCCCTGCAATTATGAACATTTCTTCCCTGTTATTTCTGGAAGCCTACGCTATATTCCTCTGTGGCCCAAGAGTTTCAGAGAAGGAAACAGCAGAATGGTTTAGGGGCAAGAGAAGCACTGTGCTGGTCAAAGGTGGCTGACCATTTAGCTTAATGGAGGAGGAAGTCAAGGAAGGACGACGCTCAAGCTGAGATGACACATTTGAAAGGCGGGCTTGGGGAAAGGAAAGACAGCAGAGCCAGCTTATCCAGAGCCAGCCTATCGGGGAAGTCCTAGTTAGGTGAAAGAAAAGCCCAAGACTATCTTTGTCAGGTCAGAAACTAGCTTCTTATTTGGAAGTTTTGTTCTTTACAACTTAGTCCCTTTTAAAAGCCATTTTTCCTTCAGTTAAATCTTCCAGGAAAGCCAACAGCTTGAGGGGAGCCTCAAACCACTCTTAGTTTTGGGGCCTCTTACCTTAATCCTCATGGTCTCTGGTTCTGCTATTACACCACTGGTTTTCAGATCCAAATCTCCAATGCTCCGTGTCATGGCAAGCCTGCCGTTTACATGAGGCTGTCCCACACTATTCCAAGCTACAAAACCACCACATTTCTTGACCCTAATTAAGAAAAAATTAAAAGATTAAAGATATAACATACATAAAATTAAGGCATTGGTTTAAACATCAATTTTAGGGGCTGGAGAGATTGCTCAGTGGTTAAGAGCACAGGTTGCTCTTGCAGAGGACCTAGGTTCAATTCCCAGCACCCATATGGTGGCTAACAACCATCCGTAACTCCAATTCCAGGGAATCCGATGCCCTCTTCTGACATAGGTGCACTTATATACATGCAGACAATACACCCATACAAACAAAATAAAAATAATAAGGGTTTTTTTTTTTTTTTCTAGTCTTTTTGAGACAGGGTCTCCCTGTAGCCCCACCTGGCCTGGAACTCACTATGTAGATCAGGCTGGCCTTCAACTCACAGAGATCTGCCTGCCTCTGCCTCCCCAATGCTGGGATTAAAAGCATGAGCTACCAGGTCTGGTTAATAATAAAGTATTTTTAAACATCAATTTTAAAATGCAAAATTTAGAGCCTAGCCTGTCACCACACACCCATAATCCTAGAACTTGAAGAGACTGAAGAGGATTTTGAATTTAAAGCCAGCTTAGGCTACACAGAAAAAATTTCGAGTCAATAAAAAAATAAAAACTTAAACTTTAGGCCAGGCATAGCATATGCCCTCATAACCCCAGCACTTGAGAGGCTGAGGCAGGAGGATATCAAATACAAAGCCAGTCTGGGCTACACAGAGAGATCCAGTTTCAAAGACCTAAAATCAAACAAGAAAATCTGGGCTGAGGGAAAATCTGGCTGGTGCAGTAGTAGTGCCTGCTCACATGCACGGGGCCCTGGTGAGGTCAGTGCCACAGGGGAAGATGCACAGTTGCATTTCTGTGGGAACCATAAACATCATACCCACAGAACGGCTGCTTGCAGTGACAGTACCTTTCTTTCTCATCTTTTCTTTCTGGTGTATGGTCAGTGGTCAGCTTCATGGGTTTCCCTTTTCTACACAAAAGAGCCCGGCTGTCCCCAACACTGGCGACAACCAGTTCAATACCATCTTGCAACAGGGCTACTGTTGCAGTGGTCCCAGAGGTCAGAAGGGTTGCTACAAATATTACAAAATAGAGTATTAGTTAGTGTCGACCGATCACAAATGGAAGTTTTATCACAAAATAAAACACAAGCACGATAAACTAATGCTGCGGATGTACCATTCTTATTTAACGAGAGCTATGCAAATGAAATGCAAATGAGCTATGTTAGTAAAAGCATGCAGAGAAGCATTTAATTCAGTAACAAGGCTCCATGCACACAGAAAAGGTTGCTAACCTAACCTGGTAAGCAAAGCATCACTGTCTCCAAATGGCCTCTTCATAAAAGAGAGAGCCAACCTAAACTTACAATTATGATATCTTTGTGTGTATGTCTGGTGTCAAAACAAAGCATATAAAATGTAATTTGACTGGCTACTATAGCAGGATGACTGGTCCACCTGGCCCATAGGCTGACTTTTCTATAATCATGGGATTTAGATTAGTCTCTTTCGTTCTTACTCCTGACCACTCAAAGTATTATCAGTTAATGGGCAAAGTGAAACATGCCAAGAACAGACTATTTGCTCTTCAAGTACTACACTGTATATTCTTCCCTTTCAGAACTGTTTCAGTTTTACAATTTTCACATACACACAGTAATTCATAAAATGGTTGAAGGCCCATTCTTTTTTGGTATCTTTGTTTTCTCCAGGTCTGAAGCAAAGTTACAGACACCATTAAATTAACAGATGTGTACGATGGAGAATGGATTCAGTCTAGTTCTTTGTAAACTTGGCACAGTTAACACTATTAGTTCCTGAAGGATCTAGTCATAGAGTCTGTAGCCAAATGCAGACCAGTACAGCCAGCTTTGACTCAGGCCTGTGTCAGAACCCTGGAGGAATGTTCCTTTTCTCTGACATCAAGTTACTGTGCTTGAGGCTGCTACTCTTTTCTCCATACAAGCAACCTGCATTTCTGTGTCTTCCTTTGATTTGTTCTATGATTGTCTGTCTTCTTTACAACTTGTTAACAAATTTTAAGGTGCATTGAGCCTTGCTAAAAGTGAGTGTACTATGAAATTATGAGCTAAAAAAAAATAAAGCAAAGTGATAGAAATTGAGAAAGGTAATATTTAAAGCAGGAATTGTCTCTAGTAACATTGTTAATTCATTATAGCACTGAAGTAATACTCAGGGGACCATTCAAAAGTGATTTTGACTTTAAAAGTCAATTTAGAAAAATGTAATTGATTTGATTGATCGACACTCAATCTTTCCAAAAATTTTTTTCCCAAAAAAATCAATTTCAAAAACTTCATCAACAATGCATTTTGGAAAGAGATAAATACATAAATACATTTTCCAATCAGTACATTAAAATGCCTGCTTTAATCTGAAAAATAAAATGGAAACACATGAAGCAAGTCTACTTAGTCTTTTGTAGTCATGCTACTGTTGTGGCTTTATTGAGAAAGCATCTACAGTTGCACTATTTTCCCATTTATACCTTGATTTTGGAACTGTTGCATCAAAGTAACATTATCACTGCAATGTTAAAATATATGTCAGTACATGACATAAATGTTTTAACTTAAATAATAGTGATTCTTACATTAAAAGTGCTATAACTTTCAACTTGATACCAGCCAAAAACTGTTAACAATGGAATCGTTTATACATTAGAATCTTTGAAGTTTAATCAACTATAGTATGTTCAAATAATTTTAAAAGCCAGGAAAGTGAACATACACATTTACTTGGATTCCACCTGCCCAGAGAATTTTGTATTCTTCCCCTTTATGTTAACTGCCAACAAAAGCTTTGCAGAAAGTGATCTTCAAAAAGAAGCGGTCTTGCCAGGCGTGGTGGCACATGCCTTTAATCCTAGTACTTGGGAGGCAGAGGCAGGCGGATCTCTGTGAATTCAAGGCCAGCCTGGTCTATACAGTGAGTTCCAGGACAGCTGGGGCTAGAGGGAGACCCTGTCTCAAAAATAAATAAATAAATAAATAAATAAATAAATAAATAAATAAATAGAAGCGGTCTTTAATGAAATTTCATTGTTTTGGCTGTACTTCACAGCACTCTTACCTAAGAATTTAAAAGAGCTTGGGTCTTTATCAACTACCTTGACAGTTCCAAAATCCTGGGACATATGGGGAAAGTTTCAAAATTAACTAGAGGTTCCAGCTTGCTAAGCATCTAAGAATATAAATAGTATATCAGCACTTATTTTCATTTAAGATGGAAGTAAAAATCCTCACTTTTTTGCCCTAATAACAGAACTATAAAAAATAAGACATCTTTCAGTACATTCTTAACACTCACTGGACAATTTCTATTGCAAGTCATCTCAACTAATGGGACAAAGAGGATGTGGGAACCTTCTAGAAGTCCAGACTAGGAACCGCTGGACTCCTTCACCTGAGACAAAATTAAGCAGATCTCTCTTTCCACTGAAGCCCATCATATAGTATCCAGAGGCTCCAGGTCTAGAGCTGCTCACCAGGCACAGTTCTCTGCCACAAATAACATGTACAGAGGCAAACAGGAAATTCACCCAGAAATTATGCTCAGACATAACAAACCTGCAACACAGGGGAGAGCAGAGAAAGAGCTGCAAAATAAGGGGAAGGGTTTTTATTTTGGTGAAAAGTTCACTAGCAAATCACATAATATTCCAGGAAAGGCCAAATCAATGATTTTCAAACTCAGTTTGGCTCAAGTTGATATTTGGTAGTTGACGTCTTTTTACCACTAGACTAACATTTCTCATAGTGTTATAACTCAAGATAGAAAAAACTATGTATACACGCACCCCAGTGGTAGCACCTGCATACTCACACGCTCCTATGCACACGCTGAAACAGCTGGTCTTGAACACAGCAAATCGGTATTTTTACTGATTAGTTAGAAAAAAAAATGCACTGTAAATTTGGTCGGTAGCAAAACAGAACTGTCCCCCAAACAAAGTAATTTGTATTTGATGAGTAGTGCATAAAAGATGTGAATTATAGTATATGCCAGATGACTGGGGATTTCAATATGAATGGAGAAGCCATCAAAGCCATCTCCTATGCCAGAAACAGGACACAACACATTGTTAACAGCATGTGATGTAGGGATTTAGTATTGAGAAGCATTGCTTCCAGTAGAATGACTAACTTAAATTCACTGTTTAAATCAAGCCGAGTGTGGCTCTTGAACTCTAATATGTATTTATAACATATCCTCATCTACAGGTATAAATTTCTGCAGCTTTTTCTTTCCCCAGTGTTGCAGGTTGACACAACAGAAGAAAAATTATCACAATTTTGAATAGCAACATAAAGAATAAAACCTGTGCTTTTCAGTCTAACAACCCTCAGTAATTATTAAACTATGTGAAGAATATGAACCAGTAGTTTCAATACTTAACTAAAAATTAGTGTTCTAGACATACTGACTTATGAACACCAAAAATCAAATTAATGATCTGAAGCAGGAACAACACAGTAAGAACAACTCTTCAATGCTGTCCCTGTTTGTTTGTTTTTTTCTTATCCCTGCGTAAGAAGGATATTAAAAATATTGTACGGGGCTAGGGGTGTAGCTCAGTGGCAGAGAGTTTACCTAGCATGGCCAAGGCTCCAAGTTCAGTCCCAGCACAGAAAACAAATTTCCCTTTATAGTTTCAGTTATCTCGAAGTTTAGTTCTTGCATTAAAAAGTCATTGTATGAAGCACACAAAGTTTGAAATTCACAGTAGTGGGCATCAATATTTTCCACTCTGAATCAGAGTAAATCTTCTCTCTTTGATCCTCTATCCCTTGGGGGAGCTTTGCCACTTTCAAAGCTTAACCAGTGTAACACTTTGAAGGCTATAGGATAGATGTATCATCTATATTTTCTATCATCTGCTTTAAGTAATTATTTGTGAAAAAAAAAAAGTGATGGGATAGCATCTAAATTTACTGGCCGGTTTTGTTAAATGTTTTTTAAAAAGTGCACATTACTGATATAAACTAAATTTTAAAAAGTTGAAGATGATGCTGAGAGAGCTGGAGATGTGGCTCAGTGCTTGAGCACTTGTCTAGAATGTCTGAGGTCCATTAAAAAACAACTCCACTCCCTTATTCATAAAAGTCAAAATGTAAGAGATACCAAAAGATGAGAAAAGATAGTCAGAGAGGGGTGCTTTGGTCCTACAGAATGTTCCCTGGCTAGCTGGTCCTAGCTCTGCACACAAGCTTGCATGTACACAGATACACACATGCCAACAAGAGTATCCACTTTAAAAATGCTGGTACTGGGGGGTGTGGTGGCACACACCTTTAGTCTCAGCGCTTGGGAGGCAGAGGCAGGTGGATCTGTGTGAGATAGAGGCCAATCTGGTCTACATAGTGAGTTCCAGCCCAGCTGGGGCTACAAAAGAACCTGTCTCAAAAATAAATAAATACATACATAAATAAATAAACAAACAAACAAACAAATGAGCCAAACATGCTGATACTGCTTCAGTTCTTACTAAAAATTTAAGATTTAAAAATTTAAATAACTTTAAAATCTGAAATGATATGGGTTTTGTGTGTGTGTGTGTGTGTGTGTGTGTGTGTATGTGTGTGTGTGTGAACTAAAACTGAAAGACAGGTACACAGCATTCTGTCTTCAGGAACTTTAACATAGCTGATAAAATGGGCCCCTAATGCCAACAGGCAAAATTTGCCATCTGAAAGATCTGTACAAATACATTTTAAAAATATTCTCAAAACTGATTTTGAAAAAACACAATATTCACAATAATGCCTGATATTATAAAACTTTAAAAGGCACACCTTGCACCATTCTATACTTTTAAACAAATGACCATTAAAAGGGAAAATTACCTCAAAGTATGACAGCGAAACCAAATTAAGCAATATATCTTAATTTCATTATTAGGAATAAACATTTATTTCTCTTCAGCTATTTGATTATGTGACAGTTATCTATGGAGATTTTCTTTAACATATACAAATGTTCTAAATTCAAAAGCTCCTTGGATTATAACTTACTATCTAAAAAATGAAAGTGATATCAAGTCTAATACTGATTTTTTTTTAAATTTTATGTGTATGAGTGTATTTCCTACATGTATGTAAGTGCACCTACATCGTGCAATGCCTGTGGAGGACAGAAGAGGCAGTTGGAACCCCTGGAGCTGGAGTTAAGGATAGTTGTTACCTGCATGTGGGTGCTGGGATTCGAACCTGGGTCTTCTGCAGGAATAGCCAGTGTTCTTAACTGCTGAGCCGTATCGCCAGCCCCTAATATTGATGTTTTTTTGTTTTGTTTTGTTTGTCTTTTTGAGACAGGGTCTCCCTGTAGCCCCAGCTGTCCTGGAACTTACTATGTAGACCAGGCTGGCCTTGAACTCACAGAGATCCACCGCCTCTGCCTCCCGAGTGCTGGGATTAAAGGTGTGCGCCACCACACCTGGCATATTGATGGTTTTAATCACATAGATTAGATCTTTTTCAATAAAGCTGACTGTACTCATGAAGGGTTAATAAATTTGGTTATTGGTCACATGGCAAAGTTCTTGAATTTCTGCTCTGCAAACCATGCCCAGTAGATGCAGCTGTTTGTAGAACAGCTGGGGCACACCACTGGCACTGCAGCCCATAAACATTGTGACAATGAAGCCAAACACAAATAAAACTGGCTGGGCATGGTGGCACATGCCTTTAATCCCAGCAGTTTCGAGGCAAAGGCAGGAAGAACTCTGTGAGTTCAAGGCCAGCCTGGTCTACATAGCAAGTTCTAGGCCGGCTAGGGCTACAGGAGACCCTGTCTCTAAAAGACAAAAAAAAAAAAAAAAAAAAAAAAAAAAACAGCTGGGGCACACCACTGGCACTGCAGCCCATAAACATTGTGACAATGAAGCCAAACACAAATAAAACTGGCTGGGCATGGTGGCACATGCCTTTAATCCCAGCAGTTTCGAGGCAAAGGCAGGAAGAACTCTGTGAGTTCAAGGCCAGCCTGGTCTACATAGCAAGTTCTAGGCCGGCTAGGGCTACAGGAGACCCTGTCTCTAAAAGACAAAATGTATTTACTTAGGCCTCAGTGGTAATGGCATGCCCAGGCTTGCCCCAAAATCATTTTTGAACAGTTTCACATGGTGACAGGTACTTATAAGACAAACAGACCTTGTCTTACTCCAAATTTTATGTATTAAGATTTTAATTTATGAGTCTAGCTCAGTAACCTGAAAATGCCAACTGCCAAGATACATGTTGTCTTTCAGAAATATTTTCATGGTTCTATATAAGTAGAATTGTAGACTTAACTGATTCCTTAAAGAAAACAAAATTCTTTAGCAGATGGACAAATTTTAAATACAGTCTGAGTTTACAAACAATATTCAACCGAGGGAAAAGATTGAACTTGCCCCTTCTTTCTTACATCTTTTGAGTGAGGCCATTTGCTCCTATCATTATTAATAATCACTAGGGTTTTAAATGTTGTTTTATTTGGTACAAGAGTAAATTTCAGTCTTTATCAGTACTTGAGGGCTTGGTTGGACAGCTGATAAACTGGCCTCCATATTAAAATAATTATATGATAGGTCTTTGAGTATCTTAGTATAAAATCAATTTATGTCACATCCAATTTATAGTATCTGGAAATTTGCCTGATCAGGCCAACAAATAGGGCTTGCCTTTACTACCAACTCCGTGTATCAAGAATGCCTGAGTGCTTTTTCCCAGTGATTTTTGGAAACTTGTTTTGCCCATTAAAACATTATTAAAAGAGCAGTCCATAGGTGGAATTATTGAAGAATGAAATATATTAATTCAGAGAAGTAATTTGCAAGATGCTTTATTTTTATTTATGATTCATATTTATTAGGGTCCACTCTTTCAGTAAACTCCTGGGAGGAGTCCCTCATATGTTCATGGAGAAGGAATTGTAGCAGATAGAGTCACATACATCCTTTAAGGTACTCTCTGTTGACTAATTAAATATTTTTCTGCTATAGTTAGCACACTCTTCCTTTGCTCTTACTCCCAGCTTGTTTGTGTGTCTTACCATATACAGTAGTGAAGAAGTGTTGCTTAGGTTTCCTTGAAACACTTGGCGTTTCACAGAAATGCATCTTCCTTTCTTGCTGTGCTCTTCTTTGTTCATGTCTAGAACCATAAAATGTTGAACAGCAGATGTACTGCTATCTTAAAAAATGAGTCTTAGAGCCATTTCCTCCACCTCTTACCAGATGAATGTGGCCCCCTTACCCTTGCTCAGTTGACCATGGGTGAATTTTGTTGCAGTATGAAACCCTGGGGTGGCTAGTGGTTCTGATAGCTGGATCTCAGTGTTACTCTGTCCCATGGGTATGGAGCTCTCAGGACCTAATCCTTATTCATCCTTTCTGCTCTGGCAGGAGCTGCTACATGGAGTGAGGGTACAGAGATGTCTCTAAAAGGCAGTAGAACTTTGCAAGTCATGATTAAAAATGGGCTTTCACCTATGGTCACCGATGCACAGTCTGTGCATCTTTTTTAAGATTAAAATTCAGTAACAACCATTTTGGATCTTCCCTCTAAAACTTCTTCGTGTAAAAGGGAGACATTGACATTCTGACATTAGTTTGAATTTTAAACAGTATTTAAAATGATTCTTTGTATAAAATCATTTCTACAAGATTAAAACATTTTAAAATCTTTTTTAAGATTAAAATTCAGTAACAACCATTTTGGATCTTCCCTCTAAAACTTCTTCGTGTAAAAGGGAGACATTGACATTCTGACATTAGTTTGAATTTTAAACAGTATTTAAAATGATTCTTTGTATAAAATCATTTCTACAAGAGCTTCTTTACAAGCAAACATACATTAAACCCCCACACTAAAGGCCTAAGTTGTGTTCTTTTCCTAGCTACTCCTGAAGGCCTTGAGGAGTGTGGCTGTTTGGCTTACCATCAGCAGAGAGGTGGGCATGTCTTGAAAAGGCTTTATCTATTTCTAGAAAAGCCAAGGTCAGCACAGTTTCCAAGTCTTTCTCCTCAGGAAGCAAATCCCTTTGTGGAGAGAAAAGAAAGCCCCAATCATTTTTCAATTCTTCGTTTTTCTCTTCTCAGCCACTCTTCAGCAATCACCCCACAAACCGGACCTCATGACTTTCCCTTCGGATGAGGGAATATTTATTAAGCACTGAAGGCACTAAGTGGTAAGAACTGTGATACTCTACTTATGTGCTGCGCTTGCCACCACTCTCTGGGTATTTGGTGCTGGCGATCAAACTCAGGGCCTCCTGCATACCAGGACTCTACCAAACTTGGGCCCATCCCAGCTGAAACCTAAGGCTTTTAAAGGCATGAAAATAGATATCTGGGGAAGCAGTGCTGGTGGTCTGCCTGTACAGGCAGGAGGATCAGGAGTTCAAGGTCATCTTTGGTTTCACAGTAAATTCCAGGCCTCCCTGAGTTATGAGGCTGTCTCAAAAACACAAAACAAACAAAACAAAAGAAAACAAAACAAACAAAACCAGGCTGTCTGCAAGACACAGATCAGTGGTAGAGTCTTTACCTAGCATGCACTAGGCCCTTGGTTAGATCCCACCACTGCAAAATTAATTAATTAATAAGCAAATGAATGAATAAAAAATAAATAAAACAACAAAATCCAAATCCATGCTTTTAAAGCTTTTTGATTACATTCTTATTTATTTTGTGTACATGTGTGCTTATGTGTGTGGCTTGCCTATGAAGGTCAGAGGACAATTTGAGGGAGTCAGTCACTTCTATCATGTGGGCCCCAAGTCCCTGTTTTGCTTTGTTTTCTTAATTTTTATTTTATGTGTATGAGTGTTTTGCCTGCATGCATGCAAGTGCACCCAGGTTGTGCAAGGTCAATGGAGGCCAGAAGAGGTCAGATCCCCTGGAACTAGAGTTACGGACAGTTGTTAGCCACCATGTGAGTGCTGGGAACTAAATCTGGGTCCTCTGCAAGAGCAGCCAGTGCTATTAACCATTGAGCCATCTCTCCAGTAACCCCCTACTCAAGTCCCTGTTCTTAAAGTTAACTCCTCATTACTACAACCCTCACGAGTTAAGAAGTCCTTCATGTTAACTTCTATAAAATGAGATAAATCACACCTAAATCAACTGGCAAACTATATCTAACTATACACAGGAAGATGAAAACTAGCACATAGCCACAATCACCACATAGTCACCTCTTTTTTAATTCTAGCAACGGTGTGATCCTCAAAAATATAATAAAATATTTGAAGAGCCCTAAAATAGCCACAATAAATGGTTTTCCTTCAAATTAATGCCAAGCTAATTTTATCAAGTATTACAAGATTTCCATATCAGCTGAAAAAGTATTTGAAGCACTTTCTTATATGCCCTTCCTTCAGTAATGAGAGTAGATACTTCCTTATGGGCTGGGGAGATGGCTCAGTGGGTAGAGGTCTTGCTGTGCAAGCATGAAGACTTGAGTTCAAATCCTTAGCACCCATAAAAAAACAAGGCGTGGGGGATACAGCAGTCACCCCAGGGCTGGGGGGGTAGAGACAGGCAAATCCCAGGGGCTCCTGGGCTAGCCAGTCCAGCTAAAACAGGGAGCTCCAGGTTCAGGAGAGACCCGATGTAAAGAAATAAGGCAGAGAGCGATAGTGGAAAACACTCAACCCCTGGCCCCTATACACAGGTGTGTACATACACACGTGCATGCATACACTACACACACACAAAGTAAACTCTTCTCACAGGTTATCTCTTATACTTCACACTACTTCACTTGAAATGATCACAAATAAAGGGCTGCAGATTCTGAAGCACATTTCTGAAATGGAGATAATCCTCAGTATTAAATGCCACGCTGACTACTGCTCATCAGAGAAGTGATATGTGAAACGAAGCGGTATGTAAAACCACTTTAGTAACTTGGTCCACACCAGACATCTCCACTAAAGGGAGAACGTTTCAACAGAAGCATATGACGTACAAAGCCAGGAATGGAAAAAAGTCATTGCACATACATAATACATCTCTCCATGTGTGTGTGACAGAAATCAGCAGCTGCAGGTCCCCCGTGTCCGTCATACACTGCAAAGTACAGGACTTCCTCTGTGAGCTGAGCGAAGCCAAATCGATCTTCATTCTCTTTCCGTTTGCCAATGTTGGAGGCACAGCCCACATTCTCCAGGCTAATTTTGGGGATTGGCTTGCCGTACTTAATGCTTGGTGGCAGCAGAATAGGCTCATCAATGCGGTTATCCCAGATCCCGAAACTGTCCCAAGTGGCTGGCCGCCCACTACCATCTGGGTCAAACCGAGAACACCTGGGATCTGAAGTGGAGCTGTGGCAGGTGGGAGTCACCCGCAGGTCCTCCTGCAGCAGGCGAGAGCTTAGCAACACTCTCCTCCTCACCTGGTTCCCACCACTTCTCACCAGAGTGATTAAGGCAGCTGTTGACATAACTCCAAAGGCCTCAATGACAGGGAAAGATCAATGAGAGAATAATGGAATGCCTTCAAAAAAAATGATGTACCTGAGGGGTGGGGACAGAGACTGAGTTAGAGATTCAGAACACCACTGATATAACATCAGACATTTTCAAAAACAAAAACCATAAAGAATATGGCAGATTGTGTGAGCAGTGCGCACTCCACAGCATATGCCTGAGAATGGTGAATCAATAATGAATGTACCTACCCCATTCCCAGTGTTTAAATCATAAATTATGACAATACACATACAAAGAGCACATGCTTCTTCAACTTTAGTCTGCAATCACTTTAGGATGGTGTTAAAACAAGCATTCTGATTTAGCTGGTATGGGGTTATGGCCACACTATGCAATTCTAACCAGCCATTACATTACAGCTGCTGGTCTGCTGGCCACACTTTGAGTGACAAGAACATAAAATGCAGATGTAAGTAAAAAGCCTTCCCTTCACAAACTTCATTGTTCTGAAGAAAAAGTAATGTGAATGCTAACAGGTCAAAGTGGAGAGAATAAGTGTCTGTGGAGTGTTCCGCCACTAATGGGACATCTATATCACATCCCTTCTCCCAAGGCTCAGGGACCATCTTGGGATAGGGGGCAGAAAGACTGTAAGAGCCAGAGGTCAGGGAGGACCACAGGGTAACAGCATCCTTTGCATACAACAGGACTCAGCACTCATGAACTCACAGCAGCTGCGGCTGCCTGCACAAGACCTGCAGAAGATCAAGCCAGTTAGCATTCCAGCATGAGGTGGGGCTCATGAGCCCCCACTCCTAAGTAACATGCTACTGACTATTCTGTAGGGAGGGAGAGCTAGTTTTCTTCAAGGGTATGGCCCCTGGTAGGTCAATCATGCTCCACTGTATGGTCCCACAACCTATGAGTATATGGGCAGCACAAATTGCAATCAGTAGGCAATTAAAAAAAAAAAAAAAAAGACAGGAAGTAGAGTACAGAACTTGAAGGAACTAGGAAAAGAATTGGGGGTGAATCTGATCAAGATACATTGTATGCATGTATAAAATCTAAAAATGCCATAAAAATATTTAAAAAGAAACTGATGATTACTCTTGCTTGTCAGCTTGACTGCACTGTGAGACAAATGGAAAACTGGTAATGCACACCTCTGAGTCTATCACTGAGGGTGTTTCCAGAGACTACTGGGATGCAGATCAGTGGTCAGCAAATTGAGGGCAAAAAATTCACCCCAGATGTGAGAAGCACTGTCTAGTAGGCTGGGGGACCCTACGGGACAAAAAAACAGAAGCTCCCATGCAAACAAGCTAGGCCTTCTTGAGCAGGTATAGTATTTTGCTGTTGATCCAATGAGTATCAGATTCTAGCTTCTGCCTTTGAACAGGGCTGACACTAGTGACTTGGGGGAGGGGGGCTGGCAGGCCTTTCTCTCCCTCTCCAGCCTGCACATTACTACTATGGAGACTATCCAGAGCCTGATTGTGTCAACCAACACAACTACTCTCTTCTATTATATGTGTACACATATATATATATTTATGTATATACATAGATATAGATAGGTAGATCTATTGATTGCGCTCTAGAGATCTCTAACTAACACAGTTTAAATAATTTAGAATGAAGACAGGGTTACCAAATCAACTAATATAACATGACCAGTTTAGGAAACCATCAAGGCTAGTCTAAGTTTTGACTGTGTCTCAAATCCTCCCCTCCAAAAAAGTATGCTTGTTTCCTTCCTTCTGATTGAAGGGTCTCTGGCTTGGAAAGGTATTTGGGTTTTTCTCTCTCCAAAGATTCATTTAGCAGTTTGGTGCCTAGTTTGGCAGTGCTGAGGTGGGGCTCACTGGGAGATCCTCAGGTCCTTGGACATGCCCTCATAAGAGATTAAAGTAGCACTCCTGGGACCCAAATTAGTCCTCACTAGAACAAGCTGGGAAAGTCTAGACCCAGCTAACTTCTGAATGTGCTCTCTGGCTTCGTGTCTAAGTGTATGATCTCTCTCTCTCTTTCTCTCTCTCTCTCTCTCTCTCTCACATACACACACACACATACATACACACACACACTTGCCCTTTTGCTATAATGGCACCATCTGCCTTGGGGTCCTTACCAGCCATGCCCTTGAAACCCCAGAGCACCATGAACCAAAGTAATCTAAATGACCTTACTGTATTTTCACTTTTTTATAATTATTTATTTACTTTAAAAAAATATGTGTACACGTGCATGTGTCACAGCAGACATATAGATGCCAGAGGACAACTTATAGGAGCTGGCTCCCCTCCACCACGTAGGTTCTGAGGATTAAGCTCAGGCCAGTCTTGATAGCAAGCACCCTTACCCACTAAGTCATTTTAGCTGCCCTAAACAAACTTCTTGATAACATTACTCTGACCCACATGCTTCATTTTGTAACAGAAAAGAGATTAATACAAAGTTGTCTTTTATTCAGCAATAATTAACAATATGTGAAATATGGGTGACAACTTATAAGAAATTTCAAACCAATATAATCTAGCAAGTATTAGAAGTTACCGTTAATGGAGATCACTGACATAGCAACTTACACCAAACAGAAAAGAAACATGTTAAATTTAAATTTATTAGAAAGCACAGGGATTAGCAGAGTAGCCTTCTTTGGGCTTCAGTGTGAAAGCAATATGTCAATTTTAGCTGCTACTTACCCATCATGCATCTATTTTAAAAAGAGTTACAGAATTGCAAACAAGTAAGTTCTTCTAGAGCTCTTCTAGGATACTCCTCCCCACCCCAGCCACCTTTTAAAATATTTCTCTCTAACCTTCAACCAGGACTAAAAAGAAAATAGTAAAAGAAAAAAAAATAAAAACAACTCCCTTACCCCCAAACCAAAACAACAAAATCCTGTACATTAAAAAAAAATAAAAAATTCTTAGGCTGGGTGTAGTGACCCACACTTTTAATCCCAGCACTCAGGAGGCAGAGGCAGGTGGATCTCTGTGAGTTCAAGGCCACCATGGTCTACATAGTGAGTTCCAGGCCATCTAGGACTACAGGGAGACCCTGTCTCAAAAAGACCAAAAAAACAACAAACAAACAAACAACAACAAAAAAAAAACCAGTTCTTTAGCTTCTAATTTGGAAACCATCATGGGCCCCAGAGCTTGCTCTCTCTCCAAATGCCCAAGGAGAGGATGAAGGCCTGCACAGCAGCCAGGGGTGCAGAACTGAAGTGTGGAAGCCAAGAGAAACCTTAAACACAAAAGAGTGGAGAGCAAACCCACAAACACAGAACCATTCTCCTGGTTGGTCAATTCAGCAGTAGTGACATGGGAAAAGTTTACCTTCTGTTACTCAGCAAGGTTTTTTAATAAGCAAGGGAGAACTAAGTCAATCTGTGGATCAGAAATCTAAGCTAACTCATTTTAATAAGTCATTTTAACAATGACATTTAAACTTCTGAGGTCAAATCATTCTTCATTCCTTTGAATACACAAAAATATGCCAGGAAAAGTTAAAGGAATGCAAAGAAGAGAAGTATACACATGAGAGTATCTTACGTAGTTAGTGTAGGGCCTGTAAGTGGGTAAGGGTGCTTGCTGCTAACCCTAATCACCTGAGTTAGATCCCTGGAACCCACAGGGTAGAGGGAGAGAACTGACTCCTCCACATGGGCACCATGGTGTATGTGCGCCTACATATACACCATACACACATATGCCACACACATACACACTGAACACATTTTTAAAAATTTCAGAATAAAAAATACCTTATGTAATCCAGCCATTATTAAGAAGTAAATGACTGAAAATTCACCTTTTCTACAATTTCCACATTAATCTGTGTGACCAAGCCTTTCTCCCTGCCTTCCTTCTCAACCTGATATTTTAAAAATGACATAAAAGAAAGGAAGAAGGGAAGTTGTGACTAGGGAACCAAGATAGCCTCTATGTTAGCAACAGGAATCTCAGCATGAGAATAAACCCATTGTAAAATCCCAAGCACGTGAGAGTAAAGGATCGCACCAGTGAAGCCCATATCCTGAGGTCAGTAAATCTCATCTGAAAGGCTAGAAGTCTGTCATTTACTATAATCCCAGCACTTGGGAACTGGAGGAAGGAGGATCTGGAGTTAAAGGCCAAAAATCAACAAACAAAAAGTATTAGGAGTGAAAAATGTATCTGCCTTATAAACTTTAAAAATGCATACTTGATTTAACAGTACAAGAGTTGCCCAGAGTGGTGGCAAACACCTTTAATCTCAGCACTCCAGAGGCAGAGGCAGGCAGATCTCTGTCAGCTCAAGGACAGCCTGGTCTATATAGCCAGTTCCAGGCCAGCTGGGGCTAAAGGGAGACCCTGTCTCAAAAGATTAAAAAAAAAAAAATTAAATAGAAAATAAAAGTACAAGTATCATATACAGCTGCAAGACTGCTGTGCCAATTGTACTTTTCACATTTCTCCAATTTTATAATCCCTCAACAGTTTAATTCTCAGAGCCATTCAATTTTATTTTTGGTTAAAGGAGGCACTATCTGTACAGCAGCTTTTGGCACTGGGAGCTTGAACTCAACTGCTTTTGAATGTTATAAACAGGTCAAAAGGGCAGTTTATTCTTATCACTTTAAGCAAGCAATTGGCAGAATTAATTTTGAGTTCTAACAGTCAGTATTACTGATAACCTCAGATTTGTCCCTCTCTAGAAAAACTGTTATGCGCTGTCCACTATAAACTGGCACTTAGTGTCTTTCCACAATGGATACACAAGGTACTGTTTAATATTCTTTTTAAAAATTTATTGGGGTGTTGAGGGCCACTCTGAAAGTGTAGAGGTTATACAACAACTTTCAGGAATTGGTTCTCTTTCCACTATGTGGGTCCTGGTGATAGAACTCAGGTCATCAGGCTTGGCCAAAGGGGCCTTTTGCCTGCTGAGCCATATCACTGACCCAATTTCTAATATTCCTTTTTTTTCAGTATTTATTTTTATTCTATGAGTACTACGTCTGCATGTGTGTAAGTGCATGTGTGTAAGTGCACACATGTCATGCAGTGCCCACAGAAAATAGAAGAGAGTGTCATAGCCCCTGGAACTGGTGTTACAGGTGGTTGTTAACAGCCATGCGGATGCTGGGATTTGAACCCCAGTCTTCTGCAAGAACAGCCAGTGCTCTTAACCGCTGAGTCATCTCTCCAGCCCCTAATTTTTAATATTCTTAAACCAAATATTTCTTTACCAGCTTAAACTAAATAAAACAGTACACCCAATCAACACCTAAATTGTCTGAAAACTTCTCAAACGTGTTTAGCAAATCTGAACTCTAGTGCCTTTCTTATCTCCTGCCAGAAGGAAAATGTCCTTCCCAAAAGGGAGGGGAAAAAAAAACAAAATCCAGTGACTGCTCTTGGTCTGATGTGGGCACATACTTAGATGTGTGAAGTGAAACGGAAGGAAGCAATGGAGAGCATTTGCTACTCAATTCTGTGCTTTCCTTTAAGCATTTCACAGTACAGGACAGTAGTCACCTTCCAAACCTATAGCTATTTGATAAGAATTTTCAAACCTGGAGCACACTTATAATCCCACCACTCTTGAGGCCGAGGCAGGCTAATGAATGATCTGTTTGAGGTTAGCCTGGGCTACAGAGTAAGACCTGTCTCAAAAACAAACCAAATTAAAATTTTTTTTTTTTTTACATTCTAGACATCACCAGCATCTCTCCAGCATCTCTTGGCTTTTCTAGAATTCTGTGAAACTGGAGGTGCCAGGGCTGGAAGTAGAAAATAACTCTGATTGAAAGGGGTGAAGAAAAGCTATCCCCCAGCCCAGCGGGCCTGTTGGTACACGCCTTTAATCCCAGCTACCCGGAAGGCAAAGACAGGCAGATCTTTGTGAAATCAGGCCAGCCTGATCTACATAGTAATTCCAGGTCGGCTGGGTCTAATGCTTCTGTGAGATGGAGGCCAGTTCCAGGCTAGCTGGGGCTACAAAAAGACCCCGTCTCAAAAATAACAAACCCCTAAACAAACCCCAACAAACCTCAACCCACTAACCAAAGACTTTAGGTATTTTATGACGTTTGTCGCACAGTGGCGCACTGGTTCCCAAGTTCAACATGCTGCAATACACAGTCGCCCGTCCTCCTGCTCCTAGAGCACCAGAGAAGCCTTTGAGCCTCCAAATTCCCTAGCTGTTTGTTGCAACCCAAAACCTCATCTCAGTCTCCTCGGTGAACTGACGCATCTACAGAAAGCCGCTGCGAAAAAGGCAGCACCGGCCCCAAGGCCTTAAGTACACAGCTCTCCCGGCAAAGCCCAATCCAAACCCTCAGATCCAAACCACCAGGGCTCCACATCTTTCCCTACTCCGGCCTCCTTCGGTCCGCGGGCCGTGATGGATGTCAGACCCCGCGGGACGACACCCTGCGGCGCGCTCCCCGGCGCAGATCCCCCTGCCACGGCTGCGGTAAGACGCCGAACCCCGCAGCATCTTCTCCAGGCGGTAGGCTGAGCGTACCTGCGGGGCATTCCCAGGTCCCTCCCTCCGACCCCCGCCCAGCCCGCCAGTCCAGCTCCGGCCAAGTTCAAGGCCCGGCGCTCGTGGGAACGCGGGGCGAGGGCCGCCTGGGGGAAGCTGCTGGAGAAAGCTGCGGGCGCACGGAGCCGGAGATGCGCCCCGGGGCGTGGCGGACGGCGCGGAGATCCAGCCCGCAGGTCCCCGCCTCCCCGGAGCCCTCCCTCCACTCTGCTTTCCAGGGTCCACCTAAGAGCCTCGGGAACCCACCCGGATGGGCGAAGGGCACTCGGCAGGCTTACCTCGTGATGCCTAGGTTTTAGATTAGCTGATGGATGGAAAGGCTTTCTTAGACAGACGGCAACTGAGACCAACTTCTCTGTTAGTTCTGGAGCAAGCAATTAGGAAAGCCACAATCTCCCCTTGAAAATTCTGGAAAAAAATTACAGCCTCAATTGGCCAAACAAACGGGAGGCGGGGGGGGGGGGGGTCTGTTCCCGATGATTGACGGCAGCCATGGCCAGTCAATGCTCGTTGAGGCTCCGTGCCCGCCCTCAAACTCGACCAATCACTGTTCTCGACAGGACCGAGCCTCCCGCAGCCGGTTTGACCTCCCGGGTTGTTACAGCCTGAGTGAGCGTTGTCGGACTTGGGCCGGACTTGGGCCAGTAGCGGCTCGTGGTGGCGCCCTGCCCTCCCAGGTGGCCCTCAGGGACCTGGCACCCCGCCCGCTCCCGGAGGAGGAAGGTGTGTCGCCTCCGGCGGGGGGAACAGCGAACAGACTATCCAGCACTTGGCACGAGCCTGTGCAACGCTTTACTGCATCCGGTTTCGTGGCTCCTTTGGCAAATCACCGTGTTGCGTCCTTCACGGCTGAGCCAATAGACATCGCGGTGGCTTGGACTGTCTATTCATTCCACCAGGATTTCCATGTTTATGCAGGCTAGAATCTGGAGATATAAACCTAACTCAGATAGTCACGATAGCTGTGCTCAGAATTTGTAATCTAATAAGGAAGAAAAGCAACCAGCAAACGACCACGTAAAAGATAAATCACGTCAAACGAGGAAGCAGCCCAGTATGGATGGAGAACAAGGAGCTACTGACTTAAGACGGGGCATTTAAGCCAAGGCTCAGAAAGATGAGTCAATCACCCACCCCACTAAAACTAGTGGAGGGAGGATCCTTCTGCACAGAAGGCAACTCAGAGCAGAGGCCCCGAGGCAGGACAAGATGATACGCCAGAACAGGGAAAATGGTGTGGTTCTAGTGCAGTACAGTGAGGGAGGGAAGGAGAGAGCCGCCTAAGAGTTGGCCGTGCATTCTTAATTTAATGAGCTAGGCCTCCAATTGAGGCTTTTGAAGACACTGGCAAAGAGATGATGGCAGGTGAATGTAAATGCTGATGTGATTTAAGCTACCGGGACATCCTTGGAGGCAGAGAAAAGCAGAGCAATTAAAGGTTAATGGTTAACTTGTTTTGATGTTTTGGGTATCCTGGTCCAAGGACATCTCCAAATCCAGCATTTAATAATTGTTTAGAGAGTGATGCTTATGTGGATGACTCACAAACTCTAGACTTATGTTGACTTGGCAATCAATGTTCATAAAGTTCTTGTAATTGGCGTTGCAATATGATATTCAGGAAACTGTGCATATGTGCAAGTGTGTAACTTAAGAATTTTCACAATGTGCAAACTTTTTTGCATCCAGCACCAGATCAGGAACAATGTTACTACCACTGAGGAACGGGTAACCCTGTCTTCCAATCACAACTCCTATGCTGATATTTAACAGCATAGATTAATTTTGCCTATCTTTATGCTTGGTACCTATCAAGTCATAAACTATGCATTCTTTTGTATTTGGCTTCTTTGGTTCAACATTGTAAGATTTTTCTATCTTGTATACAGTTTTAGGTCTTCATATTTTTCCACTCTATAATGCCATAATTTATAGACTCATTTTTTTTGATGGATGTTGGAGGTGGTTTCCAGTTTGGATCTATTATAATTAATGTTTCTAGGAATATTCTAGTATATTTCTTTTGCTTTGCTTTGCTTTGTTCTTTTGAGACATGGCCTTGTTATATAGCCAGGCTGCCCTCAAACTTATGGTGACCCTCCTCAGCCTCCCAGGTGCTAGAATTACATCACCACACCTAGCTGTATGTCCTTGTTGGTGGCCTTTTCTTTCTATGAAGAATTTTAGTATCTAAATTGGTCTGTTCATCAGAAATATATCATGTATGTGATATTCCAGACATTTAGGTCAAAGTTTGCTGCAGACTGGGAAGCACTTTGCTTTCATAAAGGTGAAAAGTTTTCAGCAACAAGAGACTGTTGGTGAGAGGAATTTCAAAGTTAGATTTAAAATATTTAAATTATCCTCAGAGTTTGAGAACATCGTTACTTTGCTACACCTTTTCACTATATGCAGCTATCCTCCACAAACAAAAATGCTTCAACTGGGACTGGAGGTAAAGAGATGTGAATTTTCTCCCATTTCCCACCTCTATTTTACAATGATCTCATTTGATCATTTCTAAGTATTTCACCAGCCATTAATTTCTCATTAGAGCTGTTACAAAGTTGATTGTATTTTGTAAGTATATTTTATAAATAAGTTGACAAACAAAAATTCTTTTTGTTATTTAATCACAAAAGCTCAGAGTCAGGGAAATGAAATACAATATCATCTTACCACTGCTGGCCATTTCCAGCTTTTCCCCGCCCAATAAGTTCTCTGAGTGCTTGTGACTAGTTCTGAACAAAGAATTGTGAGCAGAGGAACAGGGGTCCTTTTCCGAGCATTTAATACTGCCCTTTAGACCTTCTAAAACTTACTCTCTGTGTCCTTGCAATCAGCACTGCTCCAGATAAGGGCTACACCTTCAGTCTGGGTCCCTGAGTGAGTATGAAAAGGTCTCTCTGCTATATCATGATAGCTAAGTTGCATGAATAAGGAACAAACCTTTGTTGTTGGAAGTCACCTGGAGTGGTGGCACATGCCTATAAACTCAGCATTCCAAAGGCTGAGGCAGGAGGATTGCTATAAGATTGACACCACCCTGGTAAGTAGTGAGTTCCAGGTGAGCCTGAGCTACAGAATAAGACCCTGTCTCAAAATAACAACAATTTTAAAAAGAAACCATATTTTGATGCACTATAACCTGACTTTACCTAATCCATCTCATCTGATATAGACATTAGTTTCATCTCAAAATCATCTGATCAATTTTTTTAAAGATTTTATTTTTTTTTAAAGGAATAGTTTTCTGGGTTTTTAAAAATATTTTATTATTTTTCTTTTATGTGTATGAGTGTATTGACTGCATGTATGTGAGTGTACCTGTGTCATACAATGCCATGGAAGGTCAGAAGAGGGTGTTGGATCGCCTGGAACTAGAGTTTTCATAGCCACCATGTGGGTGCTGGGAATCAAACCCAGATCCTCTACAAGAGCAGTCAGTGCTCTTAACTGCTAAGCCATCTCGTTGCCAGCCCAATTCTTTTTTTAAGTATTTTTTTATTATTATTATTAGAATTTGCGGTGAGGAGGCGAGGAGATAAAGTAGAAAGAGAATCTGACCTCAACAGGTGCAGATAGCTTTATTAACTCTGAGGTGCACCCAGCCTTCCCTCTGGTATGGAGGTTGGGGCAACGGGTTTGGGAGTGGTCTGGGATTTATAGGTGGGTCCAGAAAAATCCCAGAAAAGGGGCCATGGCTTCCCAGAATTTCAGAAGGTAGGGTATGCCTTCTTGGGTGGTGTCATGCTCTTCCCCTGGGATCAGGAAAGGAGAGATTCAGAGTTCTGATAGGGTTTTTGATAGAGAACCAGATGTCTTTTGCTAGAGCCCAGGTATTTTGCAGATGTATCTCCCTTCTGGATTGGGAGGCTGGGTGAGACAGATAGTTCCTTCAGCCACGTTAGGCTGATTTTCCTTCAATTATTATTTTTTTAATTTTATTATTTATTTTATTTTTCTGAGTGTATTGCCTGTGTTTAGGTAGGTACACCCATGCTGTGCAATGCCTAAGGAGATCAAAAGAGGATGTTGAATTCCCCTGCAACTGGATATATGGACGGTTGTTAGCTGCCATGTGGGTGCTGAGAATCAAACCTGGATCCTCTGCAAGAGAAGCCAATGCTGTTAACTGCTGAGCCATCTCTCCAGTCCCCCTTTATTTGCATTTTTAATTATGTGTATATGTGTTGGGGGGAGTTGAATATGAATGCAGGGTCTGAAGAAGCCAGAAGAGAGGTTAAATCCCCTGGAGCTGAAGTTACAAGCAGTTGTGAGCCTTCAGTTGTGGGTACTGAAAACCAAACTAGACTCCTCTGGAAGATCAGTATGTACACTTAACTTCTTAACTGCTGAGCCATCTCTCCAGCCCCTCATTGAATTTCTCTTCAGGCAATTTTATTCTAAGAAAAAAAGAAAATCAACCAGCTATGGAGCTAATCCAGGACTAACATGTTATTAAGAGAAAGTTTCATTCATTTACTTCAGTAAGTATTCATAAAGTTCCTATGTTATATCAGATACTATGTTAGGCTCTGGGCTTATAGCAATGAATGAACAATGTAAACATAATCTCCGCTTATGAAACTTGACAGAATACAGAGAAACAGTAGGCATTCACTTATCCATGCAAGATGAATATTATAATTGGAAAGCATAATGTTATTATTCGTTTGTTAAATATTATACAAGACTACCAAGAAAGAATGGAGAAAGGGGGCTACAGAGATGGCTCACTGGTTAAGAGAGCATACTGCTCCAGCAGAGGACCAGAGTTTGGTTCCCAGCACCCACACTGGTGGCTCACAACCACCTGTAACTCCAGCTCTGGGGAGAGCTGAAGCCTCTGGCCTTCATGGCTACTGCAGTCACAAGCACACACACACACACACACACACACACACACACAATTAAAAATAAAGAAGAATAGAGAAAACGGAAACAAGTTTTACTCCTGAGAACATTTGAAAACAGACACATGCCTCATGTTTGAGCGCTTGGAGGTTCCAACATTACTTTTGAACAATGTGAGGCTTCAGACAAGTAAATATCTTCCCTGTGCCTTTGTTTCATTATCTATAAAAGCACTAAATACAACCTGACTTGCCTCATTTACATAATAGCTGTGTATTAGCTACTTTTCTGTTGCTGTGATAGAAACACCATGACCAAGGGAACTTACAAAAGGAAGAGTTTATTTAGCTTACAGTTCCAAAGGGATAAGAGTCCATCAAGGCAAGGAGACATGGTGACAGAGGTGGCTGGAGTAGGAGCAGAAGCTAAGCTCTCACATCTTCAAACACACACAGGAAGCAGAGCATGACTGGAGATCCAGCAAGGCTTAAGAATTCTATAAGCGCCTCCCCCCACCCAAGTGAAGAGCTTTCTCCAACATGGCCACACCCTCTAAGACCTCCCAAAACAGTGCCACCAACTAGG